GTTACGCAAAAATACGTGCTCTCTAATGGGACTCTACCCTAAAACTATTATGACTTCTGCACACAGGACGCGGTAATGCTTGTCGCGCGGCGGAAGTCGCGCAACAGCCAATCAATATGCTGCTTTCCGTAATAACCTTTTAGCTCTTACGGAAAAACAACATATTGATTGGCTTTCGCGCGGACTTCCGTCGCGTGGCAAGCATTACCGCGTCCTGTGTGCAGGAGCCATTAGCGTGTTCGACTGGCCCTGGGTTAATCGCTCCGAGAACGATTAATGACGTCATAAGTCTCTACTAGCCAATCATAAAGCTTATAAGTATTTGTTCGACCAATAAACGTAGGCTGAATAACCCAGCGTGGGTTAACTCAGAGCCAGTTGAACATGCTATATGTAATTTACATCAAGTATTTAGGTTTGTTCGCGTCGCATGCCCCAACGTGCTTCTACTCGCTCCAACACACTCTGCTTGATTCACGTCATCACGCGGACCAATCAGAGTGCATTGAAGCGAGTAGGAGCACGTTGGGGCATGCAACGCAAACAAATCTTTTTACTTGCCAACCCTGTTCATAGGTTTCCTCTGGTTATATTGGCTGCGTTCAGCAGAGAAAGCTGCTTTGCAACTGTTGTAAAATTCGTGAATCTGATTGGTACACTCTTGGATTTAACCAAAATTAAGAGCATACTCCAATCAGATTCACGAATTTTACAACAGTTGCAAAAGGGTGGGACCCGATTGACCACGATACGATTGGACACAGATTGAATGATTGGTTCGACCTAGTAATTCACTAGATAATTCTTTTCATCGGTTGGTTGTGTCCAATCGTACCGTGGTCAATCGGGACGCTCCCGTTGCAAAGCAGTTTTCTCTGCTGAACGCAACCATTGTTTGAAAATGAAAAAATTGATATCGCCGTTCAGTCCTAAAATTGGATTTTTACTTATTGTATCATTTCTTTTTAACCTCACAAGGTAATTTATTATTTGTATTATTTTAAAAATAGAATCGATTATGAAAAATTAATATCTTTTTTATAGCCAAGACGAAGTTCTGTCCAAAGTTCAAACTCCATTTAGCTAAGACTAACCTATTAAATGTAACTCATCAATAGATATGTCAATCAGAATTATATAGCTCAAATGACACTATTTGATATCTGTCGAAAGTTATATGTGATATAAGAAGATATTAACAGATTTTTGCTTTCAAAAAAATTTGTCATGTCAGGGATCAAGGTAACATCTATGTTTATTAATAATTATATTTTGAATAGTACTTGTAAAATTAGAATTGTTAATGATAAATTATGTAAGTATATACAGATTTGAGTATGCATGATGCCATTTTTTTATTCTTAAACCTTTCAGTAGATGTATCTATTATTTTTGGCGCTTGATTTACCACCATATTCTACAAAGTTGTTTTTTCTTGAGAATACATATAATATAAACAATAGACTATGTATATTACAAAAAGAAGATTTATCTTTTATATATATATATATATATATATATATATACATATATATATTTATATTATAGTTTTCAAATTATATTCCTATGCAACACATGTCATTACATGTATATGAAACTGACCAATCACAATACAATGAATACCACAGATAATTGCTGTTAAAATCAAATCTTTAAATGAAACTCTACAAGATACATCCTTATTTCATATTATTATCTATTGAAACAATTTCTGATATATCAGTAATATATAGAAACTAAAGTGTATATATGTGTATATATCCCAAACAGCACACGATATCCCATGGACATTTTGTGAATGTTCTTAGAACATCGGGACGTCCTCAGGACATCCCGAGGATATTTGTGCTGTCTGGGATATATATATATATATATATATATATATATATATATATATATATATATATATATATATATATATATATATATATATATATATATATATATATATATATATATATATATATATATATATATATATATATATATATATATATATATATATATATATATATATATATATATATATATATATATATATATATATATATATATATATATATATATATATAATGTAAGCATGTGAGATATCCATTTTTGTACTGAAAAAGGTTTAAATAAAAGGGCTAAAACATTTATACAGAGAAAAATTGTCCTAACTATTTATTCAATTGTAATAAATATTGTTATACTAACACTGAATGCATGACTCTTATAAACCTTTTGTAATTAAATTATAAGCAGATTTTGCTGCATTATTTTAGGGTGAGGATAGTACAGATGATAACTTGAAAAGACAAGGTTCATTCAGGAAACTTGTACCTCTAAGTAATAATGGAGATTCTCCACTGAGTATGTCTGTAAGAATGATAGATAGGCCAATCGTTTCGCAAACCAACAAACAACATGCTATTTTCTTACAAGAATACAATATTCTTTCAGAATAGTAAGTTTCATAGGAGTTTGATATTGCATTTGGTACAATTATATTAAAAGAATACTTATTTTATGTATTTTACAGCAAAATGTTATGCTCCCAAGACTTAAAGGGAATTTATGTAATACCATCTGCTTTAAATTCTTTCTGTAAGTACTCTTCAGAGGTTATGCATGCTGAGTAATGTTTAATGTATTTCTAATTTAATATATAAGGTAGCTCAACTTGTTCAAACGATTGTGAGCAAGTACAGTTCATTAAACTGAATAGAAAAATATTTCACTATTTTGTAAACTACCATGTTTTATTTTTAATTATTGAGATATCAATTAAAGAAACTAGTCAATTTATATGTGTGATGTAATAGGTTGAGCTTTGTAGAGTAGTCTAAAGAAACATATCTTGGAGTTGTTAAATATTTCTTAGTAACAGTGAAAATCTAATCACAGCAGGTAGAGTATATCTTAAGATGCATGCCTGTAGTTGCTGTTGCTAGGAGACTGGAAAACAAGTCCTAGATGTTTCTTCAGACTATAGAGCTCTTCCTGCATCACGTACATAGATTGACTGATTTTCTTACATAAATAATTCAATAATTAGCGTTGTAGTTTACAAGATAATAGAGGATTTTTCTATTCAATTTAACAAGTTCTATCTGCACACAATCGTTTAGACACTTAATCCAGACATCCTGTATGTGTATATATTTCTTGTAATATTAAATTTATAATTTTAATATATTGAAAATAAAACACACAAACAGCCGTAACTCGCGGAAAGGAAGAATGTCACTTATCATTTATTTCTTGTTTATATATTATACCTTTTTCTTTTTTACTGAAGTTTCAGTGTGTTTTTGATGTAAACCTATTTTATAGGTCTTGCTCATCCTGAACTTGTATAATGGTCCCGATGTAAATATATGCATAACTTCTTGCCTGTTTCACTGTAACGTTATTAAAGTTATAGTAATATATAATGTTTATATATTTGTCTCAGTTTGGTTTGGTGTACAGTTCATTCGGCAAGGAATCTACAAAGGCGGAGTATTTAGATTCAACATCACATTGCCTTCGAATTTTCCACTTGGAGATTGCCCTGTAAGAACAATGGATTATGAATTTTCAATAGATAATTAATTTTATCAGTATTCTTATGCCCATGTCTAATATGTTGCAGAAAGTTGTATTTGAAACTCAAGTCTTCCATCCGTTAATAAATCCTGAAAATGGTGAATTATGCACATCATGGGGATTTCCTGAATGGAGAAGAAATAACAGGATATGGCAATTACTACAATATATTACAAAAATATTTGTTAATTTGGACACGAAGATGACACCAATAAATCAGGAAGCATCTACTTTGTAAGTATGATTATTTATATCTTTTAAGCATTTGCAAAGAAATTGTAGGAACATTATTATAATATTATACTATGTACAATTGTTTATACATGGATTAATTGCCAACATTATAGACAAGAAAAATATTTCGAGACTTTCCGAGAACGTGTAAGAATGTGCGTAAGAGAAAGTGTAAATAAGGTATTTAATCCACCTAGCATGGATGATCCGCATTATATTACATTCAGTCCATATGAGAGCGAACTGCACGATCCTATTAGACGAGAAATTTATGAACCAAAAGTAAGTATTGAATCATTATTTATATGTATAATACGATAATATAAATTATATTAAATAAATAATTGATGAATTTATTATTTAGCAAAATGAACAAGAAAATAGACCACTAGGTTTATCGTGGGTACAGCCTGGCTCTCTTCAGCCTTTTTCAAAACCAGAGACAAATTAGAAAGGTAATGCGAAATTCGTTACTGGCAGTAGTGAAATAATATAAATCTTTAAGAGCTGTATAAATAAATTTATAAAATAATACGAATATTTTACTTTCTTAATAATTGGAAATGAAATGCATCACAAAATGTATCGCTATTTTTCTACCTATATGTTTTACGATTTTGTATTATATGAATATATGTTAAACTATTGTGTAAAACAGAATATATATGCATGAACAATATTCGTGTATATGCGTGCGTACGTGCGTGCGTGCGTGTGTGTGCGCGCGCGCGCGCGCGCGTGTGTGTGTGTGCAGGGTGTCTCAGAACAATCTACGAAGCTCTCGTAAGAACGTAGAGCTAGTTAAAATAAATGTAAAAGTCCTGTACTGTTTTGCGATATTCGTAATAGTAATCGAGAAGTTAATTACGAATGGTTAAGGAAAAGCGTGTGCTGAATGGTAGAGTTCGGACCGCTCGAGTCACAGCGCAGTCCAGTAATATAACGTGCGGATGTTGCGCGTAGCGATTGGAAGACAACGCACCCCTACCTATATTTATACCGCTGCACTCCTACGTCTTGCCACATCACGCCGAGGCGAGATGTAGGAGCACAGCAGTATAAAGCCAGCGGCACACGGTGCTTGTTTTCATGCTGGATTGTTTGCTGGATGGAAATACTTTGTTCTGATTAGTTATCCATTTCTCTAAATGGATGGAAATGTATCAATCAAAACAGAGTATTTACATCCAGCAAGCAATCCAGCACAAAAACAAGTACCGTATGCCGCTGGCTTAAATATAAGCAGTGGTGCATCGTCTTCCAATCGCCATGCGCAACATCTGCGCGCTATATTACTGGGCTGCACTGTGACTTGAGCGGTTCGTTTTCTACCATTCAGCACACGCTTTTCCTTAATATTTCGTAATTAATTTCTCGATTATTATAATGAAAATCGCAAAACAGTATAGAACTTTTATATTTATCTTAACCCGCCCTACGTTCTCACGAGAGCTTTGTAGATTATTCTGACAAGAAACTAGTAGACGCTAATAACGAAACGATTTTTTTTTTATGCCAAAAAACGCTTTTAGGGATGAAAACTATAAAAAAATCGGTATTTACAATTCGAAGCGAATATAATCGAAACAAAAAGAAATATGAAAAAAATGTTTGAACAAAAGTTTTATGGCTGCTAATGTACTTTACAATACCGTATTTGGATTTTAAAAAAATGGTAATATTTTTCAAAACTCAGTTTTTTTTAAGTTTAAAAAATTTTTTCAAAATTTATTAAAGCCTATGTTACGCCAAATTCAACCACGTATGATAAAGTTATGTTGCGGGAAGTAATTCTTGAGAAATAAAATAAAGACGCACGTAACCTATTACGTTCAAAAAGTACCCGGAATTTGTTATTTAACAGATGCGCGTTGAGTATATGAAAAAATTTAGTTTGTATAAATTGGCACCAATGTCCTTGAATGTTATGTAAAGTTTGAGCGCAATCTGTCAGTTTTTTTTATTAGCCTAAGTACTTTCTACGATTTTTACAATAAATAAATCTGTTCAGCCAAGAATTTGTCTGAAATTTTGTATTGCTAACGAAATTTCATGTGCCAATTCGTTGAAAATATTACAAAAGGTCTTTGGTGAATTATGTCTATCGAAAATACAAGTATATGATTGGTATAAGGCATTCAAAGAAGGTCGTGAAATGGTTACTAATTTGCCTCATTCTGGTCAACCATCAACGTGCAAAATTGATGAAAAGTGAAAAAAAAATGATGCTTGAAAATCGTCGTAACAGTTAATTGAGACTATTATTTAGGCGTTATGAAGCATTTGCGTGAGAATATTCGTCGGAAAAGACTAGATTTATGGAAAGACAATTCATGGTTTTTGCCACGATAATGCTTCATCGCACACATCGATTCTTGTACGGGAATTTTTAACCAAAACTCAACGAACGTGATTCCGCAAGTATTCACCGTATTCACCTGACATGGCTCCTTGTGACTTTTTTCCGTTTCCTAAACTCAAGTTTTATTTAACAATTCTGGCTAAACAATTATTTTTTGAATGTAATATATTAATCTTATTCGCTCGCTGTTTCTTGACAACTTACCTCTTTTTTTCTTTTCTTCCTAAGGGTTAGCAATACACGATAACGAAAATTTGTAGTAATATTCATAACATACCCGGTTATATAAATTATTTTTATATATGTGAAATATAACAAAATATAAGTAATAATATTTGTAACCAGTTACGTATATAATTTTTTTATACTACACATATATAAGAATAATATAAAGATCGAAATGGGAATCTTTTAATATTCCGAATAATATAAACATTATGATATAATATATTTTAATATAATATTTTGCAAATTAAATTTTAATTTAAGATATAGAAGCTTAATAATATTTGGAAAATGTTCAAATGTTTTATAAAATTTTTACATCAAAAATTAAATTAATTATCAAAATGTTATTTATTTTATTGTATGTAATTGTATACAATAATAATATTATTCGAAGAAATGTTCAAAACAAAAATATTCTTTGCACCATGCACAACGTATAAAAGTCATTTTACCACAAATATTACATTTTGGTATATGTTTTTCTTTAAAACAACAAAAATTTATTGGATTATCAAACTTTTCAGGCCGTGTGTTGATAAATATCCACTTTTGTACTAACTATATTTTGTCACGTCTTAGTTGTTTTAAACGTGTTTATGTTGTTTTTTTTTGGGTCAATGGATTTAACCAATTTACCTCAGGATGGACAAGTTCGTGTGATTGTGAATGAGTAAATGTGTGTATGTGTATGTGTGAACTTAGGCGAATAAACTAAAATATTGATTTTACTTACTGTTTGCTGTTTGTTTCTTTCTTAAGTAAAAAAAAAAACTTTTTAGATGAATTCTGTTTGAAAGTCACAGAAAGACTGAGGAGCTTGGAATCGGACTCAAGAAGTATCGTGGATTAGGTTTGGGCATACAAGTAAGGTGTAACATGACAATTAAATATCAGTCAGAGAATTTCTGTTAGGAAACAAACCTTTTAATTGATACAATTATTTACAAATGTTTTTAATATTTAAAGTTTAAATGTTTGATTTGTTATGTTAATTGTTTAATTGTTCCGTGTGATAAATGTTTTTTTAATTAATGAATTGATTAATTTCTGGTTGATGTGAATTGAATGAGCGTTGTCTTTTTAATCTAAGACTGAACTGAACTGTGGGCAGTCGCACCCGTTTTATAGGCAGGTGGTGAGATATCCCCGCGCAAGTTCTCACCACCTTTTAGTAGAAGGGGAAAGATGCTTTTCACGACATGTGAGCAATAATCAATGATTATATTTTGATACCTTATTATCAATCCATTGTTCATTGAGCACCCAGAGAATTTATCGCATTCCTGGTAGTAACAGGAGGTGCGCTTGATCGAATTGAAGAGAAGTTACGTCGGACGTAACAATTTTGAAATCTTGAAGAAGAAAGTTGATTATGTGTTAAACTTTGTAATTTTATTATATTATTTAATTATATATTATTTTATTATATTATTACGTGCATGTAAATTTATGTCATAAATATATAAAATAACATTATTAGAGAAACATCGAACAAAATGTTTCCAAATTCTAAAACTAAGAACGTCTAAAGATTGTACAAAAGCAGTTTTTTTTGGTATTGTTAAAATATTTATTTATTTATCTACTGGTACAAATTCTTTTAATTGTTCCGGACAAGGTCTTGTCCATGAATCAAGCAACAGTATACTTTTTTCTCCAGTATTTCGTAAATAGATTTCTTCAAATCAGTTTTTGAAATGTTGACTTGTAAGTTTTCCGGATTTTGAAACCGCAATGTGAACATTAACAAGTTTAAAAAGAGATTTTGTTACTCGTGGCCAAAATTGTCCGCTAGATTCTTTTAATACTATATACAGAAGTGAAAGAAGATGTCCATCTGCAAATATAATGGGCATAATGGTATAGCTATTACTCATAGAAGATAAAGATTGAATAGTAAATTCAACTTTTTTTACTCCTACATTAGTTAATGTTCTGCCAAAATGTATTTTTAAATTAAAACCACTTTCATCTGCATTATAAATTGATCCTGCACCGATTTCATCTATATATGATTTAACTTGTCTTACAAATTCTTCTGCATTTTGACGTATTGTTACATCAATTGTATGAGAAGATCGAGTTTTAAAAGTTGTTATTTTACGTGATATAATGTGATGTGCTTTTTTAAAATTCCATATCCACTAATTTCCTGCTCTAAATAAAGGAAGGTTTATTTGCTCCTTTGCTTGCAATATCCATTTTTGCAAATCTATGCCAGGAATGATAGATCCTCTAGCAAGAGCTTTTTGAAATTGCATTAGTACATATTTGGCAATAAATATAATATCAATATAAGTAAATATAAGTTTGTAACGGCCTTGCGTTACGTGCGGGATAGTCTTAGCCGGTGTGGTCCGGGTTTCGTTTGTGAAATGAAAACCAGTGGTATAGGTTATAATAATGTGGAACTATATTCTAATTTCAATGCTATTTACAATTATTTACAGGCGATGTTACGCCGTTGGCGCGTGGTCGCGTTTTTGCTCTCGTCGGGAGCCGTTGTTGTCGTCTCGCGATCAGCTGCGAGCGTCGAGGCGCGCGATCGTCCGGCGGGACGCGGTCGGGATTGTTTCCTGATACGCTATTGTTCGTCGTTCGGAGTTCGTTGCCTCGTCGGCTTTAATCTGTTTATTTATCCTGGTTTCCCTGGCTGGTTTAAAGGCGCTCGTCATCACCGGTATCTTACGCCTTGCATGTGTTCGCGGTCGTAGGTGTTACGGGCGTAGCGCGAGGAGAAAAGGATGCCGACGTCGCGTATCCACTTCGGTCGACGGAGCGAGGTACGGACAGGAAACCGACGTCGCGTGTCCACTTCGGTCGGTAGAGCGGTATCGAGGAAAGGATGTCGACGTCGCGTATCCACTTCGGTCGACGGAGCGAGGTACGGACAGGAAACCGACGTCGCGTGTCCACTTCGGTCGGTAGAGCGGTATCGAGGAAAGGATGTCGACGTCGCGTATCCACTTCGGTCGACGGAGCGAGGTACGGACAGGAAACCGACGTCGCGTGTCCACTTCGGTCGGTAGAGCGGTATCGAGGAAAGGATGTCGACGTCGCGTATCCACTTCGGTCGACAGAGCGATGTATGGATAGGGAACCGACGTCGCGTATCCACTTCGGTCGGTAGAGCAGTATCGAGGAAAGGATGTCGACGTCGCGTATCCACTTCGGTCGACAGAGCGATGTATGGATAGGGAACCGACGTCGCGTATCCACTTCGGTCGGTAGAGCAGTATCGAGGAAAGGATGTCGACGTCGCGTATCCACTTCGGTCGACAGAGCGATGTATGGATAGGGAACCGACGTCGCGTATCCACTTCGGTCGGTAGAGCAGTATCGAGGAAAGGATGTCGACGTCGCGTATCCACTTCGGTCGACAGAGCGATGTATGGATAGGGAACCGACGTCGCGTATCCACTTCGGTCGGTAGAGCAGTATCGAGGAAAGGATGTCGACGTCGCGTATCCACTTCGGTCGACAGAGCGATGTATGGATAGGGAACCGACGTCGCGTATCCACTTCGGTCGGTAGAGCAGTATCGAGGAAAGGATGTCGACGTCGCGTATCCACTTCGGTCGACAGAGCGATGTATGGATAGGGAACCGACGTCGCGTATCCACTTCGGTCGGTAGAGCAGTATCGAGGAAAGGATGTCGACGTCGCGTATCCACTTCGGTCGACAGAGCGATGTATGGATAGGGAACCGACGTCGCGTATCCACTTCGGTCGGTAGAGCAGTATCGAGGAAAGGATGTCGACGTCGCGTATCCACTTCGGTCGACAGAGCGATGTATGGATAGGGAACCGACGTCGCGTATCCACTTCGGTCGGTAGAGCAGTATCGAGGAAAGGATGTCGACGTCGCGTATCCACTTCGGTCGACAGAGCGATGTATGGATAGGGAACCGACGTCGCGTATCCACTTCGGTCGGTAGAGCAGTATCGAGGAAAGGATGTCGACGTCGCGTATCCACTTCGGTCGACGGGATGTCTAGGATCTCTAGGAGTTTTGAGTTCTGGTCGGTCGTGCGCCTGAGAGGAGCTTTCCGATCAATCTCTCTCTATCGTTTTGTAACGGCCTTTTATATTAAATTATAACAAACAGTGAGGCTGTTTGTTGACCTTGCGGTTGTTCCGCGCGCGGTTGTTCGGCGTTTCTTTGTTACTATTATAACTCTTGTTTCTGACGTCATGACGATTTTCCGGATCGTCACAAGTTAATATAATATAAATACATATTATATAATTGTACATCTGTGCAATTGTGAAATAGATTTTACCTAAAAGAAAAGAAGTTTGATATTTACAATTAGAAAATTCAAAAATAAAAAGACTGCGATGTAACAATAAGTAGTGTAACTGTAAGTCTAACAATTAAACATCTTTCTATTTCTATTGTTGTTTATTATCTACTATTTATACAACGCACATCTATTTGCTCAATCAGCTCGTATTATTTTTCTTATATATTAGAATTATAAATTTTATCTTTCTAAACGATTCCGTACAGTGATAATAGATAAAGGTCCTTTTTTTCCACTGTTCCAAAATTCAACTGCCTTTCTTTTGTAATGAAAAATTTATATTTCCACCTTCATTATCCACAATATAAATTTCATCTTCATAATTATCTTCTTTAGCATCAATATCATATACGTCCACAAATTGAACATCGTGCGATTCCGTTGGATCGTCAAAATCAAGTTCCCAGTTGTATTCAATCTCAACATTATCATTTATTTTATTAGATCAAAAATTTTTTATTATATAAAAATAGCATCATGAAGTTCGACTTCATAGTAATTAACAGGTGAGACAGCAAAATTTGCAATATTAAACGTTCCCATACGGCACAGAAGCTTGCAGCAACATTGCTACAACGTTGCAAAATTATATATTGCAGTGCAATGTTGCAGAGACATTGCAGTGACATTAATTTGCAATGTTACTTTAGCAATATTGCAGTAATATTTAAGAAAATATTACGAATATAATATATTTTATTTATTTACTAGTTATTTTTGTTACTTGTATTTCAAGTTCAGTAATGTTTTACATCAATAATACTTATAGAATAGTACTTAGAATAGCACTCATTAATTAGTGGCAATCATTAATTTGTCTCATTGCATATTTTTTATACTTCTTATACCGTTTTTTGGAGAAAATACTTTCTTTAGATTTAATATTCGTACTTGTTTAATTTTGTTTTATTAAAATATATTCTTAAACGAAATGTCATTTTTTGAAATGATAAAAAAAACTTTTATTTCATTCAAGGAAATCATTTTTTTTTGTTAAGGCAAAGGAAATGCATTACACACAACCTCCGGAGAATTCGGGACTTCTCCAAGGGTAGTGTGGAACTCTCCCTCTCCCGATAAAACTGGGGAGAGAGCCTACCCACTAAAACCTCTGCCCCTTACGGCCACCAAGAGGGCGCCCCGGAAACCGCTCGCGCATAACTTTCGGGACGCCCTCGGCCGCCGGGCGGGTCAACCCGCCCCCCTCCCGGGCCGAGGGAGGAACATCCCCCTCGGCCCGCTACACCAAATCCTCCGTGACCGGACGTGAGGCCCCCCAGTCCGGCATATCAATCCCCTAAAATCGGGGCATCATGGGCCAAGTCTGGTCCTGTCCGGACTCAGCCCGTCCCTTCGCTTCCGACCGATGTTACGGGATGGAGGGGTTATTATGCCCCTCCACCTCCCTCGGTCAGAAGATCCCGTACTCTGACAGGGGGGGTGAGTGGCTCCAGCGCTGGCGGATCGGCCACCCTGCCCTCTTCCCGGAGGCGCACGGTTTGACTTCTAGTAATGGGAGAGGGGGGGGGGATTCACGCCTTATGGCGCATCACCCCCGTTTAACCAGACCCCTCCTATTATCACCCCTCGCCGGGTCCTCCGGCGATAACCGCCGGGAGGGTCCGGCGGCATGGAGGAGGGGGGGGCGCACCCGTAGGACCCGGTGGAGGAAACGCCAGCGGTGACGTCCACTCCCCACCCACGGGTGCGCCGCCCCTCTATCCCGCGCAAGTGCGCGGGCGGGAGAGGCGCCCTTCTTCTCCTAGGGCGCCTCTCCTCATTCTGAGGGGCGACTTCGCCTCTCCTTATGCGCTCCGCTTCCTCCTTCTGCAACAGCACCCTGTCGCAGAAGGAGGTGACGACGGACTAGCCTTCATCTCCCCCAAGCATGGCTCTGATAAGGGCCGGGGGAGAGAAGTCCGTCCCCACCACCCCGATTAAGACCCGGCGCTCCTCTACCCAGGAAGGACACTCCTTCAGTGTGTTGCGCCGAGTCTACTTCGGCACCACAGTGGTGGCAGCGGGAAGTATGCTCCCTACCAATTATATGCAGGTACACACCGAAACATCCATGTCCGGTGAGTACCTGCATTGTCCGGAAAGACAACTCTCCGCGAGCCTTGTCTACACATTGCTGTAGACAGGTTCGGATGTCTTCGGTGATCCTCTGTCCCGACAGGTCCGTCGCCCCCTCCAAGTCAATAATCCACCTTAGGAGGAAGCGTTGACGGGCCTGTGTGCGTGCTATTTCAATGGCCTTGGTCAGATGTTCTTGGTCTTTCCCACTCCGGAACTTCTTTACACGCCGATAGTTCTCGGCGTGCATTTGCGCAAGAAGCCCCAGCGGGGGAAGGCTGGCCAGGGCCATGGCGGCCATATGCGACGCCGTCCTATAGGCCCGGGCAAGACGGATGGCGACTCACCGCTGAGCGCGGTGTCCCAGCACTATAATGCGCGGGTTGGCAGCCATCTCGCTCGCCCAGATCGGGGCCCCGTAAAGGGCCATGGAGTGGACGTCCCCGACATACAGCCGCCTCGCCTTCTTTTTAGGGCCGCCGAGGTTGGGCAGGAGGCCGCCCGACATGTTCGTCACCCTATCCAAATTGGGGGTCAGAAGCTCAAAGTGTCTCTGGAACCACCATGTACCATCCAAGACGAGTCTCAAATATTTTATCGTGGGACCCGTTTTCACTGAGATGTCGTTTATCCGGACACGGGCTTTAAGTAGCTCCCCCCCTGGACCCATCATGCATAAATATGAGTTCAATCTTCAGGAAGGCTACCTTGAGGCTCATCCTATTTAGGACGCATACCACCTGGTCCACCGCTAAACGCCCTATAGCCAGGGCGTGCCCTACCCCCGGCCATCACCATGGTGTCGTCTGTATAGCAAACGACGGTGCAGCCGGGAGGGAGCGCAAGAGGATTTGGTCGTACGCGACGTTCCAGGGGTCCAAGCACGGACCCCTGCGGAACGCCACGATAGACCGCTCTTCCGCACTGGAGTTCCGCTTTGTTGCTGAACTCCAGTTTTCTATC